CTCTCTTTCTCTCTCTCTCTCTCTCTCTCTCTCTCTCTCTCTCTCTCTCTCTCTCTCTCTCTCTCTCTCTCTCTCTCTCTCTCTCTCTCTCTCTCTCTCTCTCTCTCTCTCTCTGGCTATATTTGCACTGCTGTTTAGCAGAATTCCTTCAACACACTAACAGAATTTTGCAATGACCAATGACCAGAGAATTTTCACTGGTCTTTAGTAGCATTTCCATAACGCACCAACACAATTATTTGTTTATTCCCTGCTCAGTATACTTTCAAGCATTTGTGCATGATATGGCAAGGTGGAGTAGCGGGTGCATGTATTGTTGCATGGATGTTCAATTATTCTATTTGATGTTTTTCTGCTTTAGGTTGCTGGTAACGGAGAGATTCGTGCAGGCTGTGTTGATGGCATTTCTTGTGCTGTGAGCAATGGCCTAGGTTGGGTGTGGACATGGAGACAAGCAGATACTGCACAGGATGAACCATCTGAGCCGCAAACTCCAGGTGGTGCTTGTCTGGAGGATTGAAACGCAGGAATACTCAACTGCTCTGGGCTGCTGCACACTGGCGAGACTTGATTCAAACGTGAGCATCGGACTTCATCATTTCAGATCACTCAATGAACCCCAATAAATTTAGGCAGCTACTCTGGGCTTCGTGTAAGAACGAGCACACTGTACTGACTACCATTCTGCCGAATGAAATCCAGCCGTGTAGACCAGGTGTGCGCCCTGCGCTAGTACTCGGCCCAGTGTTCACAGGTCTAAGGCTGCATAGCACCCGTTGCATACTCCATGAACTCGATTGGATTTTACTACCTCACCCCAGTAATGTGCATGCTGCAGTTGCGAGTGGGTGAGACGTTTTGAAGCATGTCATCCTGTGGCTTCCACAACCCCTGCTGGATCAATCCTTTTGGAGTGGTTATTTTTATGTGTAGTCCAAGCCATTGTGGTTAGACCGATGATATGTCCCCCTAGCCTAGCCTATCCCAACGGAACATCCAAATAATAGCCTTTACTATCAATTCAACTGTATTGTTTGACAACAGTCTTTGGTAAGGTTGTGTACTTGGATAAAACAAATAAATTGAGAAGATCCATGCTTTCCATATTTGACACAATATGTGTTTCTATTGTTTATAGTTTGCTTTCCGTGTGCGTACAGGTCTTCCTTGAAATGTACACGTGTTTCTTTTTCTTCAATTGCAAGCATATATGCACGTTATAAATTTAAAACCCCGCTCATTCCTCTTTTCTTCACTTCTATTCGCCTTGCGCGAAAGCTAGCCGAGCTTGCTTGGTGTTCCAAACTAGGAAAGGCTTGTAATAATGATGGGATATGTCCTTCATTGTACGCTTCTGCAGAACGCTAGCCCCCAAACTCTATAAAATGACTTCATTCTCGGCATTGCGACAACAAATTTCCACGGCTGGATTTTTTAAATTTTCCAACTGCGGAAAAAGCTTGAAATCTATTTTCTATTCTTATGACGCCCTATGTTCTTGACACACATTTTAGAATAATTATATTGATGTGGTGGGGCCGGGCTTATCCACCTAACTTGGTGCAGGATTTCTTCTCCTGAAGGATGCTTGCGGAATTACCAACCTGCTCTTATCAACGTGGACAGAGAGGTGGCATACAGCTTGTAGACTTTATCCAGGTAACTGGCTACTGGCTATAGGAATATCAGTTTTCCGCAAGATAATATCATTGCCTCTCTGGTGTAAGGGCCGTGGTTTGCTCTCTATGCTGACCGGTGTTTGGACCCAGCAATCCGCTCGTCCCACACGGAAAATGGTTATCTAGATGGGACTGCTTTTCCGCCTCGGGAACTTTCCCCATGTCAGCTGAGGTATCCTGCAGAGCGAGGTCAACTCTCTGGGTAAAACTGCTGGTTGTAAGCATTTTTCGCATGTGTCCTGTGCAATGTTGAGAGACATCAGGAATTCGATATAACCACCTCTGTCCGGACTGGTGTGCCAACGACAGTTACGTGTACCCATGGGCTCGATCATGATGTGGGGACTGCGGAGCATAGACCCGTAGACCCGGGTGCTCGAATAAGACACAGGGTACCAAAACAGAAACAGCCTGAAATTGTACCTAAACTTGTTCCGATTTCGTTTAGTTTTCACAAATACCATCAACATACGGCCCGCTAACGGTATGCCAAATTTCAGAGCTGCCCGGTAAACGGTTTTTGAAATACTCGCGACCCACTTTTTGCTGGGTCCTTGATTCGAGGATGTGGGTCTCCTGTACGGTGCTGCCAAAGACCTGCTGAATCTGCGGCTCCACTGATCATCTTGCTCTCAAAAACGAAGTAGTAAGTTACTACTACCTGCCCTCAACTGCCATACCAAGCGTAGACGATGGTAGACCCGTGTGCTTGAATCGGAGACGATCTGACGAGTTTGCTGTTTCTGATTCGAGCACCCAATTTTCAAATAAAAAATCCGAAGGAAATACGACCATTTTACTGCGTACTGTAGCTTGTGTTGTAGCGCACCCAGGTTCTGAATTCCTGCTGGGTGGGTCAAGCCAGACTCCCTTCCCTGTTCCATCGCCTCTCCAAAAGTATATTCTGACATTGTTGAGATTTACAGATGAGAAATTCCACACCTGTCAAATCGTTTCCGATTCGAGCACCCGGGTCTACGTATCACGCTGCTTATAGGAGGCGGTCAGTTGGACCAGGAAAGTGGTCAACAAGCACACGGAAAACGTGTAGGCGTCCGTCACGTTCTTCCTTCTTGGAAGATTCAAGAAGTTTCGATCTCCTGGCTGTCCGCAATGACTATGTCCGCGTTCAACTAGCCTATACTCTCAGCTGTACAGCCATCAATCAATCAATCCCATTCGATACCGTCTTCGTCAGTGGTCGTATTTGCATCACATTACCCGTCAAGTAAAAGCCCAGACAGTAGTCTTCTTTCTGAACCTTGCTGGGGCTCTGCCCTCATTGCTGTGTAAATAATAAATAAATTCGACGGGTTCGCGTACCGGGCAGGTCAAGAACAAGGAGTCGTACAACTCCCTGGTCAAGAACCACCTTTCCGCTTCCGTGGGACGCCACCACCCCATGATCAGGCGTCAGATGCGGCTCCTAACCGGTGGGGCAGGATAGATCCGATCCACCAACCATAGGCCAAAGGCCTAAATC